ATTTTACAAGGACAGTCACCAGTCCTACATATATGAATATGATGACAGTAGAATAATGGGGTGACATAATGCATTTTAATTTTTTTCTTGTTAACCTCAATTTTTGTATTCCATATGTTAACAACTACAAGAAAAACACAATTTGTATCAAATACATCCAAAATTAGACATATGACACTGACGTTTATTGATATTTTATGAAAAAAAATTGTATTTTAGAAAAAGGTCGATGACCTTTTGACCTCTAGGGACGTTAATAATTTTATTTAAACTGCATATGATTAAGAAACATATATGCTACACATTGATACCAAAATAACATTGATGGTATTTTTAATTCACAGGTTATGGGCATAAATGTTACCCCTCCCCCTAAAAAAGTATTGACCATAAAACACTAACGACCATTACAGATGACGCGAGTACATACAATGCATCCCTATATTTTTCTTGCTAACATCAATTTTTTCGTTTTATATGCCCGTAGGAACAAAATGATACCAAGGAAGTTTAACTGTGTGGGGGCTGTCTCTTATAAAGTTTAACTGTGGGGGGGGGGGGTGGTGCACAGTGACCCCTCCAGCCCATGGCCTATACCTTTTTATGTTGGATATGCAGCATTCCAGAACACACTTGCTGCGCGTACGTACACAGCCGAGCAGATGGTATTTGCTCAATTTGGTTATCGTATGGTGATTCTTGAGCGAGAGATTGTAGATATTTTGAAAGATCTGCATACGGCGCAAACTCCAATACCAAGGCGACCGGATCTATACACAAAACCCAATATAAATAAATTAACAGAAATTTAACTACATAACATATTAACAACAATAGTACGGTTATTTACCTATGACACATGATTATTTTCCACATCCTCCGAGTTACCAAAGATTGAGACTTTATTTTCTGTATATTTAGTTTTTTTTATAAATAATAATAATAATAATAATAATAATAATAATAATAATAATAATAATAATAATAATAATAATAATAAAATAATAATATAGTAATAACCTAGACAACTATCTAATTGCTTCAGGTAATAATAATAATTCATTACATAAATAACTAACAACAATCTTTCAATATCTATACATACCCCTGATGCTTGTGAAGCCAAGTAATCGGATAATGTTTTCATGCCTTGGCAACAGTCTGATCATCTTTATTTCGCGTAACATTCTTTCCTTTTCCTTGAAACTATGATCCTCTAAGAAAATAAAGTTGGAATATTGTTTGAACATAATCCGATGTATTAATTAATTGTGCTCCACCATTAACAATCCAACAAAGTCAAATGAATAAAAAATAAATAACAATTAACAGTTCTATCTTCATCAATAAAATAATAAATGCCAAAGTAATTCGTGAAAGCTTGAATTTAGGTTTAACACACTATATTATGTTCAGCCACTTGGTCCAGCTTTTTAAACTAACTTTAAAGTGTTATTATGAAGATGAAAGTGGACGTAGTCCTATAGTCTGTCTCATTAGATTTAAACCGAGAATTATGTGATTGGAAACCCAAAAGATAAGGAATTAGAAGGCAATCATCTTACCTTTTACAGTCTTGATTGCGACGTCTGTCAAACCAAGGCAGGGAACTTTACCTCTATACACAAGGGAGTGGTTTCCTTTAAGGATTACGTCATCTTTACGTAATTCGTCTGGATGAATCTCATTTGCTGTATTGATTTCTATAAAAAAATATTATTAATGAAAATAAATTGTTCAAACTATTTCCAGAATTGTAAAAAATTATAAGCAATGAATTTCTGAATTCCAATTCACGTTAACAAATTAATTAGAAAATGATATTAAATGAAAATTTAATAATGCACCTTCTTTCATCCTTTATTCAATTTCTCCGCCTTATAGTTATACTAAAAACAAAATAAAAGTTGATTGACATTTCAGGTAGATTGTTGATATTCAAACGTTTTACTATGAAAACCGTTAGACTACCCGAACTACCCTGTGGTCAATAACAAGGAGATAAAAATATACATTTGTTTGACACAGAAATTATTTCTTTAACAAAGTATAATTGTATTACGCTAGTCAGATATAACAGGAGTGCATACCTCCGCCATGAGTGGGGCGTTTATGGGCGAATCAGTTATCTCTTATGGGATAAGATTCTGACAATTTTGAATCTTGTCCAGGGATATTTCCCAACTGAAATTTAATCTCTTTTTTCGATTAATATGTACGACCCCACTAGATTGAATAATGTTCCATTCATTAGTTTTTGCGTAGTCCTGCGAACATAAATACAGCCAGCCAGACAAACAAACAGATGAACATATAACCTCCTCGCAGGAGGTAATAAATACCTTGCATGATTACTCCTTGTGAAAATGGTACAGTGTACACGTCTTCCACTAACTCCTTCTTTGTATTTGCGGCACCTGGCAGGTAGGGCATATATTCAGGCGGAGGGTAAAGTGAAGTGGCATATGGATTAGGTTGTACCTAAACAAAGAACACATTTCGTATCATGGGAATGTTTTGTATTAAATTGAAGCATTTGTTAAATACATAAATTAATATAATCATGATGTTTAATCAATATCTTACATTGGTGTAGGCTGGGATTTCATGTCCAGTGTTATCTTCAAACGTTTGAGGCTGAAATAGCAATAAACGATAGTTTAAAAAAAGTAAGAATCATAATAATTAGAGCACACTCCGAGACTGTATACCTCTGCCCTCATCAAAATTTCCACACATCTGTTTCTTTAAAAAAAAAAAATATAACATAATCTCAACCTCAACAAGGATTCGAACATGGGACCAGTCGCTTACAAGTCAAACTTCATAACACGAAAGCGTTTTTAGTTATGTTTGGTACCATTGGGATCCTTCAATCATTGTTTCTTTGACCATGACAAACCATTCTAGAAAGTTTCATTTAATAAGTCCACTGATTGTTTTTATGATTCTTGGGTCTGGGAGGTACCATTTTAAGAGGCTTCCAAATGCACACACTACTCCGGAACGTCACCAAAATTACATACTTTTTATTTGGCCATGACCAACCATTCCCAAGAGGGTTTCAGATGCACTTATCATCCTTTTAGATATATAGGCCCGAGAAGTTCCCTTTAAATGGTCCTCATATCCATACCTTAATCCACCTCATCACCTACATTAATTTAATCATTTCTTTCTTGGAAAATAACAAACCATATTAAAAAGTTTCATTCACGTCTATTGATAAGTTTTAGAGATATTCAGGTCTGGGACATTAGCACTAATAGAATTCTCAAATTCACACCCAAATCTGGATCGTCATCAAAATTTAATTTTTTCTTACTTGTAATAACTCTTCCAAAAGGTTTAATTCAGAGATAGTTTTTTGAGGTATCTGGTCTGGGACGTTTCTCTTTAAATGGTACTCAATCCTCATATAAACACCATCGTCATCAACATAAAATTATTTCTTCCTTGGACCATGCCAAATCATTTTGAAACGTTTCATTCACACCTGCTGAGTTTTTAAGATATTTAGGGCTGGAAATTTAGCGCTTAAAAATAACCAAAAAATGTACAGCCAAATATACATAAAGAAAATGATATTTCCCTTGTAACTTGCTTAACTCTTCCAGAAAGATTCCTACAGATCAGTAGATCAGTTTCTGAAATATCTAGTGTGGGGTGTTATTCTTTAAATGGTCTTCACGTCCACTCCCCACTCCGGATCCTCAGAAAAATAAAAGGAACCTTCCAGTCAATTAATGAAATCAGCTGTTAAAATATGACGTATGTGGCCTAAAACTATAGGCTGGGGGTTGTTAATAAACACACAAATATACAAACAAAATCTTACAAAAATATAACCTCCTTAAGGATGAAATAATAATAACAACATATTTCTGTTATGTTAGTATCTGTATGTATTTGTTACATGGACTGTCAAAGACTAAAGGTATATATATATATATATATACAGCTATATTATATATATATATATACATATATGTGTGTGTTAGTATTATGTAACCATATTACATACAGTGATTTACTTAATATTTACCTACATCAGTGATTTTATAATATGCTAATGTTCATTATCACTTTCTTCATCACTGTCACTGTCTGATGAATCAGAAACACTAGAAAACAATGGAATGTTGTTGCAGGAACTCCCTTCCGCTTCGCAGTTACACATCTCAGTACACTGAATATATAATTTTATTTAAAATCATAGGCCCGGCCACAAGTAAAAAATATGAACTGTTAAGAAATGTGTAAAGCAATATAAACTTACGTTCTGTCGTTTAGTTTTTGCTTTGAACAGAACTACAACAAGAAGCAAAGCCAGGATCACAAACACTACACCACCCCCAGCAATGCCACCTATGTGTCCAATACTCAGTGACAGGGAATCAATGTGAATTGATACAAAATCGGTTTTTGTGTTATTAATAACATCCGTCGCTCGAATCCAAAATGTAATGATTTCTTCTCCATTATTCACTTGGTAGACAAACATTTCCTCCTGGAAAAAACTCCATAATTTCAGTACATTTAGAATTGTTACAAAGATCCACGGTAGCCAGTTTACTTTTGATTTTCTTGGTACTGACCTGTTTACTATAATTAAAAAATTATATTTACTTTTGATCACTATTCAAATAGCTAACATCGCAATAAAAATAATTACCTAGATCTATATACACAATCACATAATCTGTGTGCATTTTACACAAATTTATTATTTTAGCACTATTATTATTAACATTCCATGAGGAAATGAATACAGTATTAGTAATATTAATACATTATAGTAGCAGTAGTAGTAGAAGTAGTGGAGGTGGTGGTGGTGGTAGTAGTAGTAACTGTTTTATGACAAATTTAACGGTGAACCCAATGGTACCAGATCATTTGGTAAAGCCATCCAGTTTGGCTGAAGTCCATCTTTAGCCACTCCAACTTCAAACTTTACAATTCCAAGTCGATTATCAATGGACGATAGAGTACGCCCTGCTGGTAAAGCGTCAGAATCATAGGCTTCATTAATGACGTCATTTTCAATTTCAATAGCGTGCAACATACTTTGGTCTATGTGTAGTTGGTTAACAAAATGACCCTGCCATGACACTTCAAGCTTTCAAAATAGTAAAAAGGATGATTTATTTAATAGAAAAACATCATAATCATCTCCATCAACATCATTATCTCCAGCATCAATTTAATTACCTCCATCACCATAATCATGGTAATCCAATCAGTCATCATCACCATTATTTATCATCGTCATAATTATCAACAAAACATTATCAAGGTCGATATCACCACATCATAATTATCGTCATCTTAATAATAATAATAATAATAATCTTTTTAAATATTCATCAAACCTTACAATATTATCAACAGATTTCCATGTTATAGGTTTGTCATCAGCAATCGATATTTCACTTTGGTTATCAAAAATAAGGCAGCGTCTAGCAAGACGAATGTTGCTAGCAACGTCACTAACGGTCAACACGGCACAGTATACACCTATTTTTATAAAGACAATTCTTCAATTTTTTTTCGCAATATTGTATTATGCGATCTTAAGACTACAATATTATGCCACCAGGAGCTATATTTTTAATAATGACCAATAAAATGACAATCAAATTCTGTTTCTAAGCTGAATTTGTAAATAACATGTTTTTAAAAGATATTTTCATATATAAAATAGCTCTATCTTTAAATTATATAAAATATCATCTTAATTTATTTTTGGTTTCACTTCCTTGTGACACTCTACCGACAATTCAAAAAATACTCGATTGCAAAGTAACCGAGACCAAAAAAGTGTCGTCTTTCGTCTAGCAAACTCTAAAATAACTAATCATAATTAAATAAATTAAATTTATTCACTCAGTAAGAAACACCTTGCCAAGATACATTTCAAGCTTTGGTGACTATAAAGGTGTACCTGGAGAGGTTAGCTCAGATTCTGCCTCGTAATAATTTCCAATTTTAAAATGATGAAGACCGACACAAGTGTCATCAAAAATAAGAACGTCATTATGTTCAACCATTTTGCAAATTCTGGGGTCATAAGACGTTGCTGTCAATCCAGAAATATAGTCCACCCATGTTGACCATTTCACTTTCAGCTCACTCTGTAAATAATAGGCGTAAACAATTGGTTTAGGTTTCGTCGGTGTACAACATGTTACGCTTACTTAATGTGTATTGTTTTGTTAATATTGATTTAAAAACCACTCTAAAATATGGCTATGCATATTCCTGTATTGGATACGTAATTCAAAATTGTTTAATTTTACCATACCATTGATATAAAATACAAGAAACCGACCCAGGATTACATTTGAATATCACACTAAATTTGATTCTAAATAAATAATGTCAATTATAAGTATCTTTATTATTTAATTTCTCACCAATGTAGTGTATGGATCACCGATGTTAAGTGCATATCCAATGCAAGCCTTATCACGTGGAACATTAAGAGAGCAATGTGTTGGTGCCTCGATGTCGACAGTTATGGTCAAATTCCTCGTTACAGATTTGCCCTCGTAATACACGGGATAATCGGCTTCCCCGACTATTGAGTAATCGTAGTTGTTCAATTTCAGAAATCCTCCATTCGCTGAAGAAGCTGTTATTATCAAACTGGTAGATAAAATAGAGGTTATGATAAAATAATTTCAGACATAGAGGGGATGAATCATTCTCCAATTTAAGGATGCATTTTTCTACAATTTATTGGTAAATATTATTAGAACCTAGGTGCAGTCGGATTAATAAACTAAGCATTTGGTGTTAAATAATTAAAACATTTTCACAACCAAAGTAGAGCTCTATTACAAATTTGCTGCCAAAATCACGTATAACGTTAGCTCAATAACAGAAATAATAAACAATAATAATAAAAATAACAATGTATCTACCATTATTAGAAATCTGAAAAAGACGTACATTTCCTGTATAATAATTCAAATATCTTGAACTATAAATTTTCGAAAAACCTTAATTTTTGTCAAATTTTACCTATTACTCTAGGAGCTGAGTTACGTCACGTGTGCACTTTCGCGTGCACTCAATTCCTTTTCAAAAACAGGTGTATATTTGTGCATGGTTGAAAAAAAGTTTGGTCACACGATCTAATTTGCTCGTGAAAGATCCGCCATTTTGAATTTCAAGATCGCCGACGTGTCGTGTTAAATATGGCAATGTTTTATAACATTAGAAATGTAATTATACACTGATCAGTTTTCTCCATTACCCCTATACTTTAAAATACATACAGAGTTATTTGCAGTTTAAAAATGTCACATGATTAAAGGTCATAATTAGACAATCTTTAGATACTATCTTTTAAGGCTGAATAAAGTTTTACAATATACATATAGCAGAAAATGTACCGTTTTTAAAATATATTTCAAATTAACGGTAAAAATTGGAATGTTTTAATTTATATCACTGTATTAACATGTTAGTACGGTAACAAATATTATGGCTAAAAATAGAAATGTCGGGTTCTGGTTCTTCCAAAGGTACTAAATTTGGTCCATATGTTGCTCTTACCATACTATTTCGATTACTGCCTAGCACTGACAGAGGGGACAACATTAAGGTCACTTAATTTGCATAATTGAAAATGGCGCCTTTAGAATGAACATTTGAGATCTTCGTATTGACTAGTCATAGAGATTTAATTTTGGTGTTAAACTTGTTTAGAATATGTATATTTATATTATGCAAATTAAGTGATTTTAATTAAAAATGGCGGACCATTTGCACAAAAATTAGATCGCGTGACCAAACCTTTTTTTAACCGTGCACTGTCGTGCACCCATACACATCTGTTTTTTAAAAGAGATTGAGTGCACGCGAAAGTGCACACGTCAAGTAACTCAGCTCCTATAGTATATTTTAACGACGGTTAAAAGAATTACTGTCATATGTTCGTTGAATCTTACTTATCGTTGTTTTGAAGATTGTCCTTTAATTTTTCATATCGTGTACAAACATGTATGTCCTCATTCGGGTCGTCTTCATTGTGGTTCAAACTACAATCAATTTCTTCAGAATCCATTATTTTGCCATCTATCAGACATAAATATTACGCTACAACATTTTGTAGTTTAAGAAATTAAAAATGGAGAAACAACAAATAATACCAATTGATTCTAAAAGTGATTATTTTAAGGATAGTATTGTGCGTGTATTATATTTTCCAATTGAAAATGCATTTTGATCCTTTAAGGTTATTTTATACCATAATTATTTTAAAAAAAAAATTATTCGGGAAAATTGTGAATCTGCTATAGGCCTATGGCGAATGCCGGTTTGTTTTTAACAGGCAAAATATGAATCCATCATTTTGTATGGATTTTACTCGAGCAATGAAAACACATTCAAAGTATTTCTCTCCGCAAACAGGTAATGGCTAACCATCGTGACAGTATATAATAACCAAATAATAATAATAATACCACAACTATCACGATAACAAAAACGTTTAATTCAGGTGATACATAGGCCTACACCTTATGATTTTGTTTATAATTTTATATTTACCTTCTACATAGACATGCGCACTTGGAACTCTGAGATTGAATATATATGAAAGCAATTACAATAACGAGTGGTGTTAATTTGTCACTAACATTATTACATTTAAAATGAGTTATAGATTAACTTAGTTAAAACATAATATTGGCATAGTTATAGGCCTATGATGCAGTCATGGAATGGAAATCAAGGAAAGGGGCTAAATCATAATTAATTGTAAATCTTAGTATTCACCTCTGTAAATATACCATTTGACAACTGCTGAAGTCACGCCCACACTGAAATTTTTGACGTAATAAGGAAATGGATATTCAGTAGCCGAGAACTGAGTTTGCCAATCCACGGAAAAACTGTTTCCTTTTACGGATGAATAGATTGGTGACACTCGTGATTGCTGGCATGAAATATTGCTTGTAGAGATTCCATTGAATCCATTGTCATGTTGTAACATTATTGAACAGTTTGAAACATCTGGTGGCACAGCAACTATAAATAAAATAAATTATGGATTATGAGAACATTTTGATAACAAAAGTATTTGCCTGATTATGGATACACCAGTGCCATGTTTATTATGCCAGTCATCCTTCTTTTTATGAATTTTGTAAGAAATCTATTTACTCTTTTATTTGATCATTAATGCTTCAGATAACAAACTGGTAATTGGTCGAACACATACTGAATGTATCCACATTAGGTAAGAAATGGATTGATCTTTTACATTAGTGAAAGTTTAAGCAAATGAATGATTTTCAATACACATATTTAAAATCTAAAGTTTTCCTGATGACAGTTTAGTCATTCAAAGCTTTAGAAATAAATTTGAAAGGTTAACTCACTTTTCATGCAATTATCATCCAAAGTAAAGTCTGTGTCACAAGTGCAATTGTTGCTTGAAGAAGCACATCTACCAGGATAGCAAGATCTACTATCATTACGCCACGAACAAATTTCTATTAAAGGATGGGTAAGAAATAGTCAATAAATACAGACTCAATAATCGTACATTGTGGGGGAAATCAATTTAAATGTCAAATACTAGTACAATGTTTTGAAGTACGGTATTGTTAATACAATTCGTTTAAAAACTTCTGTCTATATTATAGAAACCTCTGAGAAAAGTGAAGCACAATTAAATGAAAATAAATATAAAATACTTACGGTCGCATCGACCATTAACTAATTCATACGCCTTTATTTCGTCATTGATGTGGTAAAGACATTTTGTGCACATAAAATTCAAAGATGAAGTACAATCTATGATTTCGCAATTATCAATTTCTACATTGCAAGCTATAAATAAAAACATATAATAAATAATTTATACTACAATAATAGGCCTAGTAAATAATTGAAAGTAATTTTACTATTAAAAATAATTATAATTGTAACAATAATAATAATAATAATAATAATAATAGTTTTAAAAATAATAATAATAGTAATAATAATAATAATAATATATACTATATAATATTCAAATAAGTGATCAAGTTACTATATTCGCATGTTGGTCCATGGTACCCTACAAAACATGTACACACATTAGGGCCTACACAGATTCCGTTGACACATCCGGGTGAACATATTGCTGCAATGACAAATTAAAAGTAAGGGAAAATAAGTAAATTTTTTTTGGTTCATTTATTGTGTATCTAGGAAAAAATAGTGCAACAACAAAATATTAAGATATTCGCCACCTCCCTATACAACCCTCAAAAACCTTACGTTCGGTACATTCATCACTGCCAATGGGCGCTTCATAACCTTCACAACAGACGGGTATTGGATAGCTAACAAGTCGTTGTGCGAGAGAATACCGAGACCGTGTTCTGTATTTTCACAGAATAAAAACAGAAAACAAACGTTTTTAATAAAATATAGAAACATTTCACATAGGCTCTGCTTGCATTTTAAGACACTAAAAATATAGATGTCTATGACCAGCAAAAAAAATGTTATTAAAAGTACATTTACTTTGTAATACAATACATTTTGCCTTAGCAAGCATACCAAATGCCTATATATAAGCCCGTGTGTATTTATGCAAAGAAATGAATGTCTCGTCGACTTCTATTTTCTATTGTGTTCTCTAAACTTAACTATAAGATTTCAGAATATAACAATATGTATGTTTATTCTTATTATTTTGCAAAAAAAATAAAAGTTTGGTCCCATATTGATTACTGAATGAAGAAAAATAAGGTGTCAGCGTACTAAGCCTCGGGATAGGGTGGCCTTTTTAACCTCTCCGGTATTTTACAAGAAGGTACTCATTTATATTCCTTGGTGGAGACAGTCAAACGAAGGCAAAGTGACTTGTCCAAGGACAAAGGCGAAATGAACGGCGAAGATCGACTCCCGACCTCAATCTTGAAAACCCGAAATGCAATCATTTTGCCAAGCGCTCCCACGTAAATTATTATATTATGTACATTGTGTGTATTATATTGTCCATACAGTATTATTTATGTTTATATATTTATAAAGGCCAGTTGGTAAGTCTCATATTAAGCCCACATGTGACAGACTGAGTCTGAATGTACTGTAAGACTAAGGTTTATTCCGTCTCAATGTGAACTCACAAAATTATGACATGAAAAAAATATATCTGGTATCTTAAGACTAGAATACAATGATACAATTGCTTACCTGTAACTGGTACACCTATCCTGCCATAACCACCCACAAGAAGTCGAGGTGCTTGACCGGTAATACGTAAGAGTGGAGTATGTTTCAAGTGTTTTCATTTCAGTTGAACATACGTTTTCCCTAAACAAAATATAATTTCAGTTATTACCGTACTGTGTAACTTAGTAATTTGATGATAGGTAATAAAAAGTCGAAGACAAAGTACAAATAATACGGATAATAATAAGAGACAGAAGATAAGAACGTAGTACTGAGAACTACTTAGATGAAATATTGACTGCTTTCATCAGCAGTCGATGCTGCCATGTTCGTATTCAGAAATTGTAGTAGAAAATATATTTAACAATTAGTAATTCTTATGTTAAATTAACCAATATTTTCATTTGTATGTGTATTTATTTCACATAAAAACTATTTTTTTCTTTTATAAAATAAGAGTTTAACCCACTTTACGTATTTTCATATTTAATTACTGTACAGTTGTAGTAAATTCTGCTTTTTTACCCAGATGTGCAAATGATTGAAACTCACTATTAAGCAACTAAAAAGGGCATTATACTTGAACTGAATTATATAAGTTTTTAATTTCTTCCATTGGGTATTTTCTACATTTTTTCATTTTCTTTTAAACAGTTGTTTAAAAAAAATTAGCCCCAAAAAGTGTCAGTTTTAACGGTCATGAAGATGGCACAAAACATTCATTAATTAGGTTTGGCCTTTTTTTTTTTTTTAATGATTTTAACTTTTTTTTTTCAATACCCAACGAATAAAATACTGATGCTTTATGAAATCAATTGTTTCATGAGGCGTATAAAGTAGATTTTTTCTATGTCTTACAGGATAAAATTGAACTCATAATCCTGTTATCAGTATATAGCATCCAATCTACTCTTGCGCTAGTCTGCTTCTTTTCTTTTCTTTCTTTTTTTTTTTTTTACAATTTTTTTAATGTTCTTTGTTTATTTTTATGAAGCACAATATTCAAAAACAGACAAACCCATTTGGATTCAAACCATGAGTGGACTTCCAAAATCAGGAATAATCCGACGAATACAACCGAAACCAAATCTTGAAGCGCCTTCATCTATTCCTGTATTACCTGTTCATAAACGTAGTAGTAATTCTAAATAAGTAATAGGCCTATTATATTATAAATTTACAACGAATAAAAACATGAACATACAACCTTATTAGTCAAAATTACAATTTAAAATTTCTAAACTACAGAAGGATATACAACAACTGTGTACATAAAAATGCATAATACGCCGCTTCGTTACTGCATAAAAGCCAGTTTGTAATTGTTTGCATATTCTATGTAGGCTAAATATTCGTATTTTGTGTTTATAATTATGATCCAGTTCATCCGTTCATTCACATATGTAATTACAACAGTAACTGTCAGACTGCGTGGAATCATTAGAATCAAAGCGTGTAACAGTCTGAATGAAACGTAGTACGGTAATGATGATGATGACGATAATGATAATAATGATGATGACAACGATGATGATATAATGCCAGATAGGATTATAGTGTGTTACAAAATGGGGTTTATAAATAATACAGGAAATAACAAACATTTACCGATTCAATATTTTACTACAACTGTTCACATGACGATTAGATATACATAAGCTAGGTAAAACAGATTTTCTTTTGTTAATGTACAAGTTGAAAATGAAAAGAGAATTTTATCACATTTTCCTCCTGGTTTTGGTATTCCCCTAATTATAGATAGCATGCAGAGTATTTGGTTGACAAAAGCAAAAATATAAAGCCCAATATAAAGCAACGGATTAGGATAATTAAACTTTATGTATACGGTTGTAAGCGCATCGGACAACAAAAATGGGTTCAATGAATATAACGAAGAACTCAAATACTAACTTCCGTATAAGGATTCCAAAAAAATAAATGGCCATTTATGGTTAAATTTTAGGTTTTGATGTATCAGATAATTTCGAAACCGCAAGAGAACGCAGAAAATACACATTGTAAATGATAAATTCTGAGTAATATTAGTTAATATAATTACAAAAAAAAAATGCAATTAGTATACCGTGTATTATCTTCAAATTAAACAATATATAGGTGAGAAGGAAGATGTGTTACTGTATGTAGTTTACACATTCCGTTTTAATAAAGCTAAGCAAGTGACATGATTTTAAAATCGCGGCTATAACAATTAAAGTACAAGTAGTCAAAATTTATAGGTTAAAGTAGTAATATTTAGTTACAATAAATCATAGTTTATTCAGTTTATTTAAAGAATTATAATAAATTAGTTTTGAATGTATTTCGTTACTAAGACCAATATACGTCATTCCTTTTTTCTGAAAAGTTTAAAGTTCATTTTTTTAATGAAAATTATTCAAAGGATTTTACAGCACTTCAACATATTCATGGCATTGATGTAATGTTAATTTCAGATAAAATCTAAAGTACCAGGCACAGGTAGTTACCGATATTTTCATTTCCTTAAACTCGATATTCATTGTCATAAATTTGACTGTTGGCATCAGTACAAATATTTATCATATGTTATTATTATTGAGAGCATTGTTTTGTTGTTGTATGTTGTTCTGTCATCTTTTTTTGTAACGCAAACTGAATTCATTGTCTTGAATAAGGCCTTTCAAAATGCAAGGCCTCATTGAATACCTCAGTATCAGCATGGGCCTATCAATAATATTAATAGGTCCATGGTAAGAAGAAGACAATTAAGAAAGTTGCCGCTTAGAGGTTTTAGTGTGATGGTAATTCAAATCACAATCCATCAGTAATATCAAAACTGCATATAAGCTGTAAACATCAGTGCATTCAATATTTTGCATGTGATATTATATTTTAGATATTAACTTTCGCAATTTTCATCTGTAAGTTGGAACAAAGCGTTCCTATTGGACGGTTGTTCGAAATAAAATTAAAAAAAAAATTAGAATGCACGCAATAAACGTCACATTATCATAAATCGTTTGCGTGCCATACTCCGTGTTAAATCAAAAAGCTACTGCACACATACCCCCTACACACCCACATACACACCTGGTATACTATAGTGCGTGTGAGTCGGTGGGAATCATTGTTGTTGAATAAAACCTGATATCGTTTGCTGCTTTTTACTTATAAATGCTATGTATCCGTACATTCAAAGGTAAGAAGGAGACTTATCCTCAACTTTCATTTTCAACTTTTATAGGGACATGGTTTCTAATTTAAGTACAATGACATGCGGTATTGTTATTGCAAATTGTTCATTTAATGTATTTTGTTATGCGGATGATCTGCTTCTTGTACTGTAAGCTTAACTAAAACTGGCTTACAAAAGCTGATTAATCATGCTAATCACTAAATCACCTCTCATGGCCATAAATTCAATCCGAATAAAACAACTTTTTACTATTTTTGAAAGGAATACAATAACCCCACATCCGTGTTGGTCAATCAACAATTGTAATCTTAAGGTTTACCAATTCAGTAACGTATCTTGGTGTCGTATTAGCAAGTGATATTAAATCTTCCAAACATGTTCAAGACAGAGTCAGAAAATGTCAAAGGGCCTTTTATTCCCTTCATAATATTGGAATGTGTAGAAACGGTTCATCTTATAATGTTAAGAGTCATATTTGGAAATCCATAATGCTACCGATACTAACTTATGGATGTGAATGTTTTAACACAAATGCTAGTGCTATTAAAAACTTAGAAACTACAGAAAGTAAATTGATTAAAATTGCGATTGGTCTCCTGAAGTTCTGTAGGAACACCCCACTTTTTATATAATGTATATATATTAAAAATATATATTTTAAATAAAAAAAGTATATATATATATATATATATATAAAATCAAAACAAGATGACGCTTGGTTACAAATTCAACATTTTATTGCACTACAGGCTGTTTCATGAGGTACTTCCTCAATCATCGGGTGCTAGGCTCTGAA